GCAAGGTACATGAAGGTTTAGTTAGTTTACGAGATCGACAAGAGTTTTAAACAGCAAGGTAAATGAAGGTTTAGTTAGTTTCTGAGTTAGACAAGTGCTTTATACAGTGAGGTACTTAAATGTTTAGCTATTTTATGAGATTGACAAGTGTTTTATAGAGCAAGGTACTTGAATGTTTAGTTCATTTCTGAGTTACAAAAGTGTTTTATACAGTGAGGTACTTAAATGTTCAGTTATTTTATGAGGTTCAATTACCTCACTGTATAAAGAACTTGTCTAACTCAGAAACTAACTAAACCTTCATTTACCTTGCTGTATAAAACTCTTGTCAATCTTGTAAACTAACTAAACATTCAATTACCTCACTGTATAAAGCACTTGTCGATCTCGTAAACTAACTAAACCTTCATGTACCTTGCTGTATAAAACATTTCTCATTCTCATAAACTAACTAAACATTCAAGTACCTTGCTCTATAAAACACTTGTCAATTGTTTACTTAGTTTCCGAGTTACACAATTGTTTTACACAGTGAGTTACTTCAATTTTTTGTTAGTTTCTGAGTTAGACAAGTGTTTTATAGAGCAAGGTAGCGGAATGTTTAGTTAGTGTCTGAGCTAGGCAAGTGTTTTATACAGCAAGGTACTTGAATGTTTAGTTAGTTTCCGAGTTAGACAAGTGTTTTATAGAGGAAGGTACTTGAATGTTTAGTGAGTTTATAATTTAGACAAGTGTAGTTTTAAGTTAGTGTGGGTTTTCAAGTATCAATGTTTATAAATTGATCCAATGGGATGAGTATATATGAAAACCATACTCACAAAGTGTGGCTGAGTTTCAAGTTTCACGTGGATTGTTTATAAATTTGTACATATGAAGACAATACTTGCAATGTGTGCGTGTGTGTGGCTGAGCTCCAAGTTTCTTGTGGAACGTTTATAAATTATTAAATATGAAGACAATATTTATGGAGAATGCAGTTCTGAGGTTTAGTATGGAATGCTTATGAAATAATGGAAGTGATAAAAAAAAAGACTTACAATATGCATGGCTGAGCTCCGAGGAGGATGTGGTTCCATCAGGAGAGGAGAGGGTGTCTGACCAAAACTTCTTATCTGATTTTCAATAGCCTAAGAAAAAACAGCTTGTTGACAATGGTAAATAATCATAAAATCTACAATTGGTTAATAAAATGTAATTATAATATTTTACAACGAATCAAGGAAGAAAAGATAAGTGAAGTTGTAAAGAAGGAGAAAAAGTGTTATTAAACATTTTCAGATGGAAAGCTTACGCTTTAAGTTACAAGAGCATTCTGAACTTTAACAGATTATATCATCACAATTAATCTAAAGTGTTCTTATGAGATAATTTTCATGAAATCTATCTGCAAAATACATTTACAGGTTTCCTCATAGTCATTCACAAATTCACATGCATTACTTACACTGTGGTGAAAAAAAAATTGTACAATCTATCTTATAATCCGTATGAAGTTAAACTTCTGTTTTTTATTACCCAGCAGATGTAATTACAGAGGTACTTTCAGAAACCTCTTATTTTTAATCTCTTATGACTTGCCCGAGATAACTCAGATACCCTCCATGTTTCAGAAAATATTTGACAGAGTTAATTCAAGTAAACCATTTCTCAAAATACTTTTAATACTTTGCCTAAATTTATTTCCTTGTTATGATTTATTAGTCATAGCTCACTAGTAGCCATAGAAATATTATCTGAGTGGATCTCTTTCATATTTATTTTAAGTTATGCATAAAAACATCGGAGAAAAGCATTCCTATTCTTTACTGTAGTTTCATTGAAATAGTGTATATCACTCAGAAATCTAGATGTGTACCATTTATTTATTTATTTAGTGCACGTTTTGTAGAAATATAATAACTGATCATAAAATAACTCTGGTTTCATTAATATATAAATATAGGGCTATCAAGAACATCTGACACTGAAGAGGTTAGCAAACTTGATTTACTGCTATGTAATCAAAAACACCTTAAGTGTGAAAAAAAAACGTGCAGCCAAACTTTAGGCATGATGGTGTGTAAATTTAAATACACGGTCTAACTAGCTAATGAATGAATATTTGCTGTTAAATACTTATCAATGCTATAAGTGTAACTACCAGTTTGGCTGCCAATATTGATTTCATTCCTTTAAGTCTCACACTCAGTCCTTTCTTGGCTGCACCTTTTTTTCATAACTAAGGTGTTTTTGATTAGATACCATACCAACAAACCACAGCAAGTAAGAAAGTCACACTCGATAATAACCAACATTAGCATTCAGATCGCAACCCTGTTATTCTTAACAGATCTTTACTTTACTAAATGAACCAG